CTTTGAAAAAAATTGTGTCAAATTTCCTACTGTACAATACCAACCAAACGGTAGCGATTGCGGGGTTTTTGCAATAGCCTTTGCAATTTCATTGTTATTCAATATTAAACCCGAAAAAATAAAATATGATCACAGTTTAATGCGTTTGCATTTAATTAAGGTTTTTGAATCTAATGTTATTGAGCATTTTCCACAAAATCCACAATATGCTCCTCAAAAGGTGCTTCCATTAGCAGTAATAAAAGCAAGAGAGATTGAAGCATCTCGTAAACGTACTATACGTCAATGTGAGACGGAACAACAATATTTGAATCGGTTAGAAGAGCAACGTCATATTTACCAACCTGAAAAAGAGTTAAGTAATAATCAATTACAATTAACGGAAAATAATTCAAAGAATTTAATGAAAACAAATAATGATATTTATGAAGAAACTAAGCAGCATGACTTGGAAAATCATTGTGTAAATAAACGTGCACGCTATTCACAAGATTTAGAAAAAAATCAGGCTACACAACATGATTTATATGAGCAAGATTCCGAGAATAATTGCATTGAACAGCACGATCTGTATAAACAGAGCTTAGAAGATAGACGCGCTAAACGATGCGATCGTTATAAACAAAATATAGAAGACAATCGCGCTAAACAGCGCAATCGATATAGACGAAATTTAAAAGATAATCGCGCTAAGCAGTGTGATCGTTATAAACAAAATTTAGAATACAATCGCGCTAAACAGTGTGATCGTTATAAACAAAATTTAGAATACAATCGCGCTAAACAGTGTGATCGTTATAAACAAAATTTAGAATACAATCGCGCTAAACAGTGTGATCGTTATAAACAAAATTTAGAATACAATCGCGCTAAACAGTGTGATCGTTATAAACAAAATTTAGAAGACAATCGCGCTAAACAGTGTGATCGTTATAAACAAAATTTAGAAGACAATCGCGCTAAACAGTGTGATCGTTATAAACAAAATTTAGAATACAATCGCGCTAAACAGTGTGATCGTTATAAACAAAATTTAGAATACAATCGCGCTAAACAGTGTGATCGTTATAAACAAAATTTAGAATACAATCGCGCTAAACAGTGTGATCGTTATAAACAAAATTTAGAAGACAATCGCGCTAAACAGTGTGATCGTTATAAACAAAATTTAGAAGACAATCGCGCTAAACAGTGTGATCGTTATAAAAAAAATTTAGAAGACAATCGCGCTAAAAAGCGTAATCGATATCAACGGAACTTAGAAGATGAACGCATTAAAGATCGATATCAATATGAACAAGATTTAGAAAATAAACGCGCACAAAAGCGTATGCGTTATTCGAAAAACTTTGAGTATGAACGAGATAGACAAAAAAGATTGGATCCTAATCGCAAATGGCTTTATAATAAGCGATATTATCAGACAAAAAGACAAAAAATCAAAACAAAATCTACATTTGAAATAAAAACTTGCAATATTGCTAAAAAAATTACTAAAAAGTATAAACAATTCTGGTCGAAGAATACCATAAAACTTCGTAATTGTTCAGAAATATTTATAAAAAATATTATTGACAAAATCAATATTAAAGGTCATATTGAGAAACGATTGGAAGCCGAAAAAATTGTACGTTGGTGCATGTGTATTAGGAAAAATTATATTCGCAATATATACAAAATGTTAAGTTTGATTAAAAAGAAATCAGAAGTGTATTTGACTCTTGTCGCAGATTGTTCTACAATCGAAGACAAATTAACTGCGCTATGTGGCGAATCTAGACATACAGCCTCATCTGAAAATTATTTTATTGAGTCTACATATCATCATGATGTAAATCCATTGGAACCTTTGGTAATGAATGTAAAAGGAAAAGTAGTAAACATATTACCATTGACAACAGAACAAGCTAAAAAATCTTGGTCGTGTAATATTTCAGACTGTAAAACTAACAATCCGCTTTTAATTGACCGTTCTCAGAAGTCTCTTAAAACCATAAATACATGTACCTTAAACAATGAACCAAAACTGATGTGTAATACTGCAAGCTGTAAAATTAACGATCCACTTTTAATTGATCGTTATCAGAAGTTTCTCGAAACCGTAAATACATGTATTTTAAAAAATGTACCAAAACTTATGCAAAATATTCATAAATGTACAATGAAAATTTCAAATGAGAAATTGGGTCATACGCGTAGCTGTTATATTGATATAACACTTTGCGAAGGAATGTTTCTTCCAGTTCAATTATTATCGCCTCATTTTCCAAAAGTAAGATATATGAAGCGTTTAATTTATCAACTTACATATTTTTATCGAAAGTTGGAAAATCTAGATAATGCTTTAAATAATGCTGATATGAATACTTTGAATGAAATTGTGACTTCTGCACAGGAGAAAGTAGATATGTACAGACATCAACGGATTGATACAATTTTGAGTGATGATGATATTATGTTTAAATATCGTTTAGCATTTAAAGCATTGACTAAACGCTCTGTGGACACACCACGACATGTTTGCGTATCATGCGAGAGATTGTGTTATAAAAAAAGTGTTTCTAAAGTCAATAGTCTTCAGACACAAGTACATGTTAAAATTTGGAAAGATTTAATGACGTATGTACAACAACAAAAAGTTGATGCGCAATATATATGTAATTATTGTGCAGACAAATTTCGTAAAGGCTTAATGCCTGCATACTGCGTCTTAAATAATCTCTTTACAAATCAGGTGCCTGAAGTAATATCATCTCTTAATACATTCGAAAAAATTCTTATACAGAGAGCTAAAGCGTTTCAAACTGTCCTTAAAATGGGAACTGTTATTAATAAAAAGTTGCCTCAAAGACAAATGGTATCAAAAGTTAAAGGTAGAACATTTCATTTACCACTTCCGTTACAGGAGACATTGAATAAATTATGTTCTAATACTGATCCAATAAATATTAATCATGAGTTATATATATTAGTTAGAGGTATCCCGACAAAATCAAAGATTATTTGGGAAGAGGTAGTTGATGTTAAAAAAGTATTTGACGCTTTAACGTGGTTAAAGCGCAACAATACTTTATATTCTCATATTATATTGCCAAATGATTACAATGATTTACGTTTACCAAAATTAAAAAATTCAGAATTTCAAATGGAAGATGAGACAGAAGATAATGCAGAAGTAGCTGATGATGAGACTGAATTATTAAATGAGACAGAAGATAATGTAGAAGTAGCTGATGATGAGACTGAATTATTAAATGAGACAGAAGGTAATGCAGAAGTAGCTGATGATGAGACTGAATTATTAAATGATCCGATAGAAGAGATAAAAAATGATACGTTAGAAGGTCAACGGAAAGCAATGTTGATTCAAGTGACTAATGCTGAAAACGATGGCTATTACGAACAATATACCATCTATCCCTTATATGAAAAGAAAGCAAATAAAACTGCGACAGCTTTATATCAAATGTTAAAAATTCAGGACTTGCCTCTGAACAATCGTGAGCAACATTTAGATTTAATGTGTTTTCCAGATTTATATTCTTCTGGTATTAATGGACAACGTGAGATTAGACAAGTTAAACTTCATGATCATGAATTTATTAAATGTCGTTTGACATCTAAACATCCACAGTATAGATTAAATCTACAATATGTATTTTATTTATTGAACGATGCAAATATGCGTCAATTAAGTCGTGGAATTTTTCATAAAATGAATGTAACTAATCCGCGACTTCGTTATACAGCTGCAGAATACCTAGACGCAATGTCGAAAGAATTGTTGGAATCTAATTTGAGTACAATATTTGCCACACTTCGAAATACGGAGCAATATTGGTGTAAACCGAGAAACGATTTAAATTGTATGACGCAGCATTATGGACCTGCGACATGGTTTTTAACACTCAGTCCAAGTGAGTGGTTGTGGGAAGATTTAAGTGAATATATTCGTGAAGTAAATGAATGGCATGACGCTTCCTTAAGCGTTAGCGCACTCGTTGTTAGAGATCCAGTATCAACATCCAGATTTCTCGATAATAAGTTTCGGGCAATGCTTGACTTCATTAGGTCTAAAGATCATCCAATTGGAGAAGTAACGCACTATTTCTGGCGACGAGAATATCAAGGTAGAGGTATACAACATTTTCACTTATTAATTTGGATTAAAAATGCACCAATTTTCGGTGAATCTACTATTGAGGAAGTTTCCAAATTTATTTCACAACATATAAGCTGCACAATACCGGATAAAAATATTTCGCCATTGTTGTACAGACGTGTTGATACGCATCAGCGACATACACATAATGATTATTGTCTTCGTTCTAAAAAAGTAGGACGTAAAGTTATTCGTCGATGTCGTTTTGGATTTCCTCGTCCCGTTACTGAAACTTTGAATATCAGGGATGTGGCAACTTCGATAGCCGGTAGAAAACAATTGAAACATAAAAGTAGACTTTACGATCTTCCTCGAACAGATAATGAAGGTAATATAAATGACTATAATCCTGTTCTTCTTACTGCATGGGAAGGTAATATGGATATACAATTTATTGGTGAAAAATCATCGCTGCTAACCTGGTATGTTACTAAATATATGAATAAAGCGGGAAAAAGTGAATTATCTGAGAATATTCTTGATAGTAAGGATAACAAAAACAAATCATTAGCGAGTCATCTTTGGAATATTGCTTTGCGATTTACAAATAATAGAGAATGTGGAGCTCTCGAAGCTGCTGATACATTGTTAGGTATTCCTTTGTATGAAACTGATCGAGATACAACCATCAGATGGTTAGATGTTAATCAAATACGATATAGAAAATTAAAAAGTCGTAAAGAAATTGAAGCTCTTGATCCTGAATCTACAGATATATTTTATCAATCTTTGACAGATGATCATTATCCACATAGACCAAACGAATTAGAAAATACGTCTCTTTATGAATTTGCACAGTGGTACGATATCTCAAAGATCAAACCGAAAAATAAGTTTATTGAATATTATAAAATAGATAATGGTTGTTATCTTAAACGGCGACAGCGCGGATATCTTATTAATCATTTTAGATATAATGTTAATACACAGCCGGAAAATTATTTCTTTGCGTTATTGCTTATGTTTAAACCATGGCGAAAATTAGAGGATCTTAAAAATGAATGCGATACTTATACCGAATCGTTTCACAAAGTAAAACTGCATCTTGTAGAAGCATTGCAATATCATGAAAGATTAGAAGAATTGCAAAAAGCATTTGAAACTGCAAAACAGTTAGTTCAGCAATGCTTAGATGACGATTTGCAAAAAGAGCAGTCTCAGGATGATCCTGAAAATGCAATAGGTATTCAAAATATAGAGGCTGGTGAAGCAATGCAAGATTTTAAAGATCTTGGTGATAGAGCAATTCAAGAAATTGATGTATCTGACATGATAGTAAAATTAAATACGGATCAAAAACGAGTATTTGATAAAGTTACCAATGTTGTAGAGTCCGATAAATCAATATTACGATTATATGTTAGCGGAGAAGGTGGTACTGGAAAAAGTTTCTTAATCAAGACTATTAAATGCTGGATAAAACAAAATCTCAACAAAGATACTGCTGTAACAGCACCTACTGGTATAGCAGCATTTAATATAGATGGTTTGACAGTTCATAGATTGCTTCAATTACCCGTTGAACATGGTCAAACTCCTAAGTATAAACAATTATCTGATTGTGTATTAAAAGTTTTACGAACAGATCTTAAAGATGTTATTCTTTTCGTAATTGATGAAGTGTCAATGATATCTAATTTGACTTTAATATATATTCATCTTCGATTGTCTGAGATATTTGATACTAGTGATTGCGATGATGGTTGGTTTGGTCGAAAGCATATTCTTTTATTCGGAGACTTGCTTCAATTGCCTCCTGTACGCGAAGATCTTATCTTTACACATTTATCCGATCAAAAAATTGCTAATTATCTTGGTTCTTTAAATGCTGTTAATTTATGGATTACATTATTTGAATATGATGAATTGATAATCAATATGCGTCAGCAAGGAGATAATTCATACCGTGAATTATTGTCGCGAATTCGTATTGGTTTAGTGACAAAATCTGATTGTAAAATTCTAGAGAGTAGAAAAATATCTTTCAAAGCTGATTCTTTCGAATCTAGATTAAATGAATTATGTGATTTTATTAACAGTTTATCATCGGACACTGTTTGTTTATTTCCTACTTGTAATATGTGTGATGTCCTTAATAATGCAATGTTAAGTCGCATTACTTCCAAAGAAATATTATTAATTGCTGAAGATACGATTGATTGTACATCATATGTAAAAAAGAAAGTATTAAAAGTATTGTCAAATAACGATGATGATAGTTCTCGAACAGCTGGACTTTCAAAACAAATTACAATTAAAATTGGAGCAAAAGTTATGATTCGGCGTAACATCGATGCCAGTTTGGGTCTTGTAAACGGTACAATTGCTAAAGTAATTTCAATTGTACGAGAAACATCTACTGATGACGTAGAAAAGATTAAACTTCTTTTACCATCAGGTTTAGAATATGAAATTAAGAATATGAAAGAGTAACGGCTAAATTTCAGGTATTGGATAGAGCGTATGTGATTCGAAAACAATTTCCATTATCTTTAAGTTATGGCATCACTATTCATAAAAGCCAAGGATTAAGTTTGCAAAGTGTTGTTATGGATATTGGCAACTCTGTATTTAGTTGTGGTCAAATTTATGTTGCCTTGTCGCGAGTAACATCTCTAGAAGGAGTGCATTTAATTAACTTTGATCCTTCAGCAGTAATAGCTAACGAAAAAGCTATTATTGAATATAATCGTTTAAAACAGATATACAATCCGAAAGCAGAAATGATTGCTGTGTCAAAAGAACGTTGTCGTAAAGTAAAAGATGTTCCATGGGCGTTACCAAAAATAGTTACTTCTGTTCAAAAATCAAATTCAGATCGAAAAATTCAACATACGGTTTCAAAGAAAAGAATTCAAAGCACTGCTTGGATCATACGTGGTTTTCAGAATACAGACAAGATTTCATGTTATGCAAATACAGTATTGCAATGTTTATTACATTTAAATATTATTAGGCAGCAGTTGATTAATTGCGACAAAACAGACGTTTTACGTATATTAATGCATCGATATGAAAATGGAATGCGAAATCTAAATACATATGCAATACGGCAATGTTTAGGAGAATATTTTTCGAGTATGATAAGACGAAACGCGTACGATTTTCTTACGGCACTTTGCGAAAAATATGATTGCATTACAAATTTGATACAACATCAAGTAACTTCTACCAAGCGATGCAAAACATGTGGTAATACAAAAACTATTGTTGAAAATAATGTTGCTATTTCAATTTCCCTTGATAATTTAAAGAAAAAAAGTTGTAATCTTAATGAATTATTAAATTCTACATTTTCACATTGGTTTCACTTACACAACGAATCATGTGAATATTGTACTGGAACTGATCAAATATTTAAAAATGAAGTAACATTAACAAGAGAAATAATTGTTATTCGTTTAATACTATTTTTAGCACAAGATGGTAAATTAATAAAAGCAGAAAACAAATTTAATTTATGTGCTGTTCCAACAACTAAAGTATTAATAGCGGGACAATTGTACAAGACGATGAGTGCTATACTTTATGATAGCTCGTGCACCGATGAAGGTCATTATGTAAGCATATGTAGAGAAGGCCTATCTAATATTTGGATCGAAATAGATGATGCAGAAGTAAAAAAGAGGCAGTGGCCTAAAGGTGCTAAAGATGTTTATATAATATTTTTACAAAAAATAGGTAATAAATAATACTAATTCGATATAAAATAAAGTAGTTATAAAATTCTTCCTAAATAGATTTTTATAATATCAAGTTTATGACTATTACTATTTAATCATTTAATATTGTATTTCGATCAGTCCTATATAAAAAAAGGTTTCGTAATATATTAGCAATTTCATGACAACGCTTTACATTCTGCATTATTCGTGAAGTGCAAAAAAATATTTTTTACTTAAAATACAAGATAGTTATTTTTATCTATAATAAGCAAAGAGGACCGTCGTATTTTGAAATATGGCGGGGGTGGTGGCGGGTTCTTTGCTTATTTATTTAAAGATGCTTATCATATACAAAAATGAATGATATAATCTCTAAAAACTAACCTTTAAAAAAAAGGTAAAAAAAGGCGACCAGTTAAGGGCACGCCATTAACAAAAATTATCCATTGCAAATCCATGTAGAATCCTACCTATGAAAAATTAATCATTGCAAACCCATGTAGAATCCTAGGCAAAATTAACCGTTGCAAACCCATGTAGAATCGTACCCATTGCAAACCTATGTGGAATCCTATGAAAAATTAACCATTGCAAACCCATGTAGAATCCTATGAAAAATTAACCATTGCAAACCCAGAGTAAAATTGTATTAAAAATTATCCATTGCAAACTTATGTAGAATCCTACATTGCAAATCCATGTACAAAAGAATTGTATGAAAAATTATCGATTATAAACCCATGTACAATCGTAACAAAAGTAATGAAATAAAAAAAAAATTGCGCCAAGTGAAAATAGAAACTTGTACCAGTGGAAAATTAAAGTTGCAGACATATATAGAGTCGTATAATGAATCAGTAAAAATTTAAATTTGCAAATGTAGAATCGTACCATAAAAAAACTTATCTTTTAAAAAAAAGATAAACAAGATGCCAAGTCCATGCGCCATGTGAAAAAGAAATAAAAAAATTTTAGTTAAAAAAACTGGGCGCGCTGCTAAGTTTTAAAATTATAATGCACCTTAAAGTAACATTAATTAATTTAAACACAAAACATATTTTAACTGTAATGAGTTTAAAAGTAACAATTTAATTTTAATATTGTTAGAATATTATTTAGCAGCGCTCCCAGTTTTTTTAACTAAAATTTTTTTATTTCTTTTTCACATGGCGCATGGACTTGGCATCTTGTTTATCTTTTTTTTAAAAGATAAGTTTTTTTATGGTACGATTCTACATTTGCAAATTTAAATTTTTACTGATTCATTATACGACTCTATATATGTCTGCAACTTTAATTTTCCACTGGTACAAGTTTCTATTTTCACTTGGCGCAATTTTTTTTTATTTCATTACTTTTGTTACGATTGTACATGGGTTTATAATCGATAATTTTTCATACAATTCTTTTGTACATGGATTTGCAATGTAGGATTCTACATAAGTTTGCAATGGATAATTTTTAATACAATTTTACTCTGGGTTTGCAATGGTTAATTTTTCATAGGATTCTACATGGGTTTGCAATGGTTAATTTTTCATAGGATTCCACATAGGTTTGCAATGGGTACGATTCTACATGGGTTTGCAACGGTTAATTTTGCCTAGGATTCTACATGGGTTTGCAATGATTAATTTTTCATAGGTAGGATTCTACATGGATTTGCAATGGATAATTTTTGTTAATGGCGTGCCCTTAACTGGTCGCCTTTTTTTACCTTTTTTTTTAAAGGTTAGTTTTTAGAGATTATATTATAGACGCGCAAAAACCTGTTCAGATAATTCAATAAATTTAATTAAATCTAATGATTTTGCTCAATATTTAAATAAAAATAATGATATTAATAAAAAATTAATTACAACACCATGCATCGATGGTCACATTGAATTGGATAATGATTTCAATATTGAGATTCATAACATAGATAATAATATAGATAGCAATATAGCAGATAACAATATAGATAATATAGATATCAATAGAGATAATGTATAATAGATGATATAGAAAATTTTGACTCAGATAATGATGAATCTGATAACAACAATGATTCAAGTAACGAAAATACTTTGAATAACGATGAATTAATAAGTAATTATAAAAATTTCAATTATACAGCTAATGAATCTTCGTTAGCATCTCAACTTGCTACTTGGGCTCTAAAAAATAAAATTACACATATTGCTTTGAATGAATTATTAGATATTTTAAAGTCTAAACATAATGATTTGCCTTCGGATGCTCGCGTATTAATGACAACTCCTAGGAAAAAAGCTTTAAAAATTGTTGAACCAGGACATTATTTTCATTTCGGTTTAAGTAGCTGCATTCAGAAACTTTTTTCTTTATAACTCTAAAAAATTTACAACAAGTAGAAGTTTATATAAATATTGATGGGTTACCTCTTTTTAAAAGTTCAAATCAACAGTTGTGGCCAATATTATGCAGTTTAGTTGAAAATCGTAGTAAAGTAGGTATTGTAGGCATATATCACGGAAAAACAAAACCAAATGATGCAAATGTATTTCTAAAAGATTTTATCAATGAAGCTATTGATTTATCAACGCATGGTGTTACAATAAATGAAACTAACTATCCCTTTAAAATTAAAAGTTTTATATGTGATACGCCTGCTAAGGCATTTATTGAATTTACTAAAGGTCATACTGGTTTTTATTCATGTTCAAAATGTCATATTGAGGGGGATTATATTAATGGTAGAGTTTGTTTTTTAAGTTTAAGAAAATTTCGCAATAGAACCGATTTTGAATTTAGATCAAAAGCTCAAGAAGAACATCATGTAAATTCAAAAACTTCAGATCTTGAATTAATTAAAAATTTAAATATGATTAGTGATTTCCCTGTAGAGCCAATGCATTTAATTGATCTGAGCGTTACAAGAACTTTAGTACATTTGTGGTGTTTTGGTAAACCACCAACAAAATGTTCTCAAACACAAATCTCACAAATTTTTTATTTATTAATAAAACAAGTTAAAAATATTCCATTAGAATTTAACCGTAAACCGAGATCATTACAAGAAAATAGAAGGTGGAAGGCAACAGAATTTAGGCAATTTTTACTATACACAGGGCCTGTTGTTTTAAAATCTATTCTTAGTCATGACAATTATCTCAATTTTATGTGTTTGAATGTTGCTGTAACTATTTTATCATCTTCTCATATTAATAAATATTTAGATTACGCTGATTCTCTTCTTAATTATTTTGTAAAATCTTTTATTATTTTGTATGGTAAACACAATTGTATAATTAATATACATAATTTGTTACATGTATGTAATAATGTAAAAAAAATTCGGTCTTTTACAAAACTACAGTGCCTACCCCTTCGAAAATCATATGCAAAAAATAAAAGGATATGTTCGTAAAAAAGATAAACCGTTACAACAAATAATAAATCGTATACATGAAGAAAACTTCGCGGAATTAAACAAAGAAAATAAATTAAAAATTTCTTATCTTAATTTGTCGCAATAACATCGCGTTTGGCTCTTAGTCGAGATGAATATAGAGTTTAAAAAAAAAAAAAAATTGGAGAGCTGACTTACAAATATGCTTATTAATATTTGTTGCGTTTGGACCAGGTACGACGCCTTGGTGGGGGGGGGTAGGGGGTTATAAACATTGAGAGAAATATTGATTTGTAAGTGTCTGAATAGCTCAGTTGGAAGAGCAGTCGCCCGGCAAGCGGAAGGTCTCGGGTTCGATTCCCGATTCAGCCGATTTTCGGACCAATATTTTTTCTCGTCTTT